TTATTGGTAATGTGTTCCAGTTTACTGATAGTATTAAAAATGTTGACACCTTTGGCAAAGGAATGTCTTCACTGGATGTTACTTCATTGTTCTCTAGTGTGCCACTCGCTGAAACTGTTATATATGCAAATACGTCGGTCGAAATAGTATAAACGTACATTTTCGAATGAACTGCTCCTGATGATATGTACACTAAACGCTCAGTTTATTATAAGTAACGAGCTACACAGAGAGAAAGGTAGGATCACTATGGGATCTCCATTGGAACCTTCTACAAAACACAGAAGTAGACCACTTAGTGCATCCACCTACGGAAAACCTACATGGAATGGAGTAAAAAGCCTCACTGATTCGCTTTTCTGTTGAATACGTTTGTATCACAGATTGTTATGAAGATTAAACTAGATTTCGTAAAAGCCCGATTTCTGAAGATGATAACCATGGCCGTTCTACTGTCGTTCTACGACGACATGCGAAATAAGCCATCAACTCAGTATCTAAGATGGCTTTGTTTGAGAGTTCCAAATCTGAAGGTAATATACTATCAAATATTCTTCCAAAATCGTCCTAAATTAGTCTGCAAAACATTCTTCTTCATTTGACCTTTATCTACAAAAAGTTGTTCTCTGTATGTCTAAAATACAAGCTCTCACCTCCATATGCAGCTAACATTTCAGCTTCTGCTATAAAGTAAGTCTGTCATGATCAGAAATTGCCGTCACCACGTACAACAGAATATATTTTAAAATGGTCTCATAAAAGTGGAACAAAATAAGTTAGAAGTTTTTTTCTTGGACACTTGATTGATTCCAACCGTTCAACTGACCCCGAAACCAATGTCAAAGTTATTTGTCAAGTTGGCTAAAATAATCCACGTTTTCTTCATTTTCAACTTCAAATATAGTAGGGGCCGTGACCTTTCATGAAACGAAGCCTAACCTTTGTGTGAAAAAGAGGCATGTACAGTCTGTCTTCACCTCGACCTTAACTTTATTTCGAATTTCTCCTTTATGAGATTATTTTGCACCACTTTATCATCATTGTCATTTTTCTGTTACATTTGTTAGTCTCCGGAGTTACCTCATTTGATCTCTGAAATAATTGCAACTTTTAACAAAAACATTCACTTTATCTCAGTTTATGAATCCACATTGGCAACGAAGACTACAGAACACACTAAGTGTTCGGTCAATAAACCAAATTCATTGTATAACGCAGTTTCCCTCTCAATCAGTCGACTGGTCGTCTTTATACCGACTTTATGTCGTAATTTTTCACCTGGACTGTACCGTTTTCTCGCAACCGTTTTCAAGTTTGTCTTTATGTATGTTTTTGCTGTAGTAAGCTACTTGTCATTCATTGAAAGTCTGGTCGACCTATACCGCATTGAGTCAGTCAACAACTGCTTCCAGGAAGGTGTCCTTCAGAACCATATCCGAATTAACTATTGTGGGACCACGCGGACCGCTGAATCTGATATCTTTCAACGTCCGAACCATGATGCAGATCGGATGATAGACGAGTTTGGTTAGGACTCAGGAAAGCATGGGAGTAATGATAAGTTCTACTATCAATTGAGTGACGTTATCGGTGAGACTAGCTGGACAGATGGATATCTGAATTATTTGATGGTTTAAATGCACGGGTCGGGCGTCTAAGCCTAAGGGAGAGTCGTTTGTGTAACCGATGTGGACTTATCGGTTACATATCTGATAGTGAGGACCGTATTCTGAAGCACTGTGCAGGTCATACCTAGGTCAGCACCTAATTCCAAAAAAGTCGTCGCCATTTCGCTACCTGGTGTTCTGAGTCTGCTACTCGAGTTTGGGCTCAAATAGGTCACATTGCAATTTTGTTACTGATAACATTGGCACACTCAGGACTATCGCTCCTTTCGAGCATTTTTTAAACTATGATCACGCACTCATTATTGTTTGCTGATTTCATCTTGCGACTTGGGGTCCCTCAAAGTCGTCGTCCTAAACACATCGACGTAGGAGAATTGGTTGCTTACATTTTTAATTCCAAATACCGGACTGAGATAGATTCAACACTAGCTATCCAACCTCCGGAAAGTATAGATGAGAATTGGTTGCATCTATCAGGCGTCATAAAAGGGGCGAGTTAGACCGTTCGTGATTTTGAAGAACGTCCGGCAAATAAATACTGGTTGCTTTCCTGTTAGTTTATTGTGGCAGATGTTAAGTACAATGGTATGTGTAAATCCCTTACACGACAAATCATGCAGCTTTTATTTATGGACCATGGGTCTTGGCTCTTAAAACACATAAATTAAAATGAAGCAGCAGCTGCATCTGGTTTAGTTGGAGTCTACCTTGGCTCATCCTTCAGCAAGAAGCTTGGTGTCAGTGAAGTGGTTTGTGAAGCAGACAGTATGGCTATTGCCAACTTTTGCAGATACCCAGTTAGTTGAGCGGAGCACTTTGCAACGTGTTCCACCTGGCTCCAGCTGATTCAGCAACACTGATATTATCGTCTTGTGCTTCATGGTCAGTTAATACCAGCTCATTTAACGAAATAGAAGTCTGAATGGAACTCCAATAACTAAAACACAATCAGAAACCTGGCTTAAGTAAATTACCCCTAGCTCTCTTTAAGGAAGGAGATGACACTGTAGCCGGGGGACTGACGATATTATTTGAATAGGTATGTCAGACTGAGTGTTCCATCAGCCTAGAATGAGGCCATCTTTAGAAGTGGTCCAAGTAGTTTACACGAAAATAATAATGGTTTGGGCTCGCTACCGCAGAGTCTAAAATATTGGCTGCCATCACTCTTTATAGGTTCTGCTAAATGCGTACGTATATGGTCTGCAGGAGGCAGATTTTTTTGTGAGTGCATTGATCTCATGTTCATCTCTTATCAGATGCTTAAACACTGTCACACGTATTGCAGAACAACAGTCGTCGCGTTCCATTTTAATTGACTTGTTAGATCTATCGCAGTGGAACAGTATTGTTTACTGGATTGCATCATATCATTTTGAAATGTCTATGTTCAAAACGTAATCCAGTTTGACCTATCTGAGCTGTTCCGTGACTCCAGGTGTTCGATCACCTTTGCCGCTGTGGATTGCTAGGACTCAGTGAAAACATGTGAGTAATTTTGAGGTGGGGTGGTTTTTGGGCGTATTGGAGATCATCTTGGAACCAGTCTTTGGTGACTTGGATATGTGTTACGAATCCCACCCCAGCTGCATGTTTAACGGTCACTTTTCACTTACACTAGGACAGGTTGGAAGAAGCGGAGAGATGGTTAGTGTACGACGTGGTTCAGCTTTTATATCTTTTCTATTATGGAAAAGTAGGACAGGACAAGTCAATGCTTTGAGAGCATCTTTGCGACCGCTTCTCTAATGACACATCTATTTGTGCCTATATATATTTCATTGTCTTCCCTTTATAACTTGATATCTCCATCATGTACCATCATGTACTCTCCTGGTAGACATTATGAACACCCCGCCGTACGAAAATCTTTCGAAAGGATGACCTCGCTAATCCTAATTTCTACCTTTTCAGGGCATTTGTGAGCCATCTGGAAATTTTGCGTAACTTCTGATTATTCAACTAGCATTATTATCGTAACTATAACTATCTTTGTAGTTGTTTCCTTTGTGTACTAACTCAATTTTTGCATGGATTGTACTGAATACCAATGGTACAGCTTGCAGACACTTTCGTCGCAAAGAATCTTCTTAACCAAATTTCTTGTTTTGACAAATGTATGTTGCATTCTCTGAGCCTCTTTTCTATTGTTGGCAGTTATTTCTGCGAAGGTTTAGAAAATTTATTCTCTGAATGGTGAGATATGTGTGCAACACAGATTCATCTAACCCTGGGTATATCACGAGAATCAGCGATTTGCAATTTTAATTGTGAATTTTCTCTCCTGATATCTTACTTGCAACTTAGCAGACTCTTCTGGTAATATAAAGTCTCGTTTGTTGTGACAAATGCAGATCTATAGTTTTTAAATGTTTAAGGCACATTAATGAAGAAGAATTTTCGATGACGGAGTAAAACTTAAGCACCGAGGTAGAGTATAATCCCATTTAAAGCTGTTTATTTGATATAGTACACAGTGGTGCAGTATTATTTCCTGGATGATGTTTAAAGCAGAATTTTTTGTTCGTATTCATGTCATATCAAAGAATATGAGCAATAAATTGTGCTCAAAAGGTCGCATGAATAACAGTGCATCATTGTGTGCCATATCAAATTAACAATGTAATGTGGAACTTTACATGTCACTGTAAAACGCCTGTCCCCTGGGAACTGGGTCATCTATTATAACATAATACTTTCTTTTCTTTCCTTAATAACTTCATATTGGAGTTAGGAAGTAATCGTGTCAATCTTGCATAAGTTAGGGGAAACTATACATATATTTCATAAAAAATAATTAACTGGCGAATGTTGTTTTTCATCACAGTATATATGACAGTTTTTTTAGATTTCCAGGTCAGAAAACTTTCTATTTGATATTTATTTATCCTTCGTTGCGACCCTAAAAAATGTCTGTTCAATTTCAACTCACCATTTTATGAATTCATTTTCAACTACCTTTCGACTTATATCATTTAAAATAGATCAGATTAATGAATTTGTATTGTTATCCTATTTGCTGCTGAATTAATACGCTCCTAATTTAAGACCCAAGTAAAGGACTGTACCTTATTCTGTAAACTACACTTGTTTTACAAAATATTGGTGATAACTAGAGGTAGACGAAGTGAATCGGAATGCGTTACCTGTTGTTGGAAAGCCAAGCGCTTACTTGAATGAAACGCCTTTATGAAAGCGTTTTTTTTCACGGATCATTTTTTACTGTGTTGTTTAAGGTTTAAAATGTTATGTTAGAAATGTGTTGCATTGATTAACTTTAAAAAGATTACTATGAACAATACAAAGTGCTGCAAATAACAGTGTCCTGTTAAATGCCATCAAACATTTTCATTAAAATGTTATGTGTTTTAGGAGGATGGACGTGATTGGAAGAGGGTATTCTGGTTACAACACGCGTATGTGCAAACCCCTCCTTCCTCTTCTCTACCCAAATAAAAATTCATTGAAGGACTGTGCCTTTTTTACTATTTTTCTTGGAGCTAACGACACCTGTCTTAGTCAGCAACAACATGTACCAGTTGAAGAGTATAAAGGCAATTTGCAATGGATGATTGAATATCTTAATGTACGTCTTTGTCCGCTACTACATTTTAGCTACTGAGTAATGAATATTATATATATATATATATATATATATATATATATATATATATATATATATATATATACAATGCGAGTCCTGGGGCACTGCATCAAAACGTCTACTGAACTCAACCGATAGCTGGTACCTTAACTTGATTGTGGAGCTTGTATATCACAATGACCCAACGAGCTACACTGACTCAAACGCTTGTTACTTTGAGGTCCTACCATGTCATAAAGATTTGTTGGACTGTGATAAGACGAAAACCTGCCACCGTTGTAGTGTAAATTGCTACATTATGGGGTACTGCTGGCTGTATGGGATGTGAGAATACTGAGGTGTTTCCCTCGGATGACGAGTATTACTACTCTGATGCTGCTTTCTTGAAAGGAAGGGGAAGTTAGAAAGGTTAGACGTAAAAACAGAACACTCCTTCCTCCCTTGCGGCCTGCCAGTACTGATGGCATGGGTGTTTTCTGTGCGGTGTTAGGACAACCAGATCTGAAACAATATCCCCCAAGAGGCTGCGTCTGACAGGCTTGAAGCAGTTGTCCCATGGGCTGTACAGTCACAGATTTTTTTCTCCTTCAGGTGCCTTCCACGATGTGGGCAGTCAGGAAGTATCAACCGCCCACACACTTCCAGTAGTACACATGACCCAATCAAAGATAACTGTTCCTACTTAACTCTGTCTCCTCCTTTGTCTTCACTTCCTGATACAAATATTGAGCAATCTACACCTTCCCCACCCTCTCACTCTGTGACCACTGGCTATTTCTCTGAGACGCATATACAGACAGGACCCTAGTGTGCTTATTAAATTGACCTCAGCTGGCCATAGTAGTGAGTCTTCGAAATTCGCCTGACGAGTATCCGGAGACCCAATGGCTAGCTGTCGTCGACTCGCTGGTGTAGACATAGCATTGAGTTGTAGAGCAGAAAGTGTGTTTCTCGACCGGATACCAACAGCCGTATGTATGCTGTTCAACTGAATGATTGTGTAAGAACTGGGAAAGACCATGAGATTAATCGATGTTTATTTATGATCGCCGTGCATACGATGCGAAGGATTAATTTCATGAAAAGCTGTCAGATTTTCTACAGAAAGCAAAATCTTCAGATGTAGTCGTAAGACAGGTGACTTCAACTCTCAAGTAGGGAAGCTGAGTCAATCTGAAAGGCATTCTGCAGGTATGTACAGAATCCTATGCTGACGAACCGACAACGATGTTTGTCTTTTGCAATTTTCTTCTGATAATCACTTTCTGGCCAGCACTGGCTCCAAGCATGAGGAGAGACATTATCTCAAGTGGCGTCCATCAGCATCAAACCGACGGTGAACAGAGATAGATCACCTTGCTATAAGCCATCGGTGAGTGATTGCCGCTCTTTCTGTAATACCAGTTTGGATTCCGATCATGCGTTAGTACAAGCTCGTGTATTTGGAATGGTGGAGAATATTTGTAGCTCAGGTGGATGATCTTGATTGTATTGTTTTCTACAACCCAGCTCAGAGAATACAATGCAACCAACAAGCACCTGTATGTCTACGCCTTATTGGTCTCAGGAAACATGCTATAGTAAAGCCTGTCTGTGCTCAACTGGAAGATTAGAACGTCAGGTTAACGCTTAAGGATGAGTTAGCTAAGCATTTATCTGAACATTACAGCAGTACTCATCCTGAGGAAACGGTGTAGTGTGATATTAAGTATGCTATAGAAACAGTGGTAAGGACAGTTAGTAACCCACACCTGAAGGTTGGCAAACATCAGTGGATTTCCATGACGTCATCCGAACTGATTGATGCGAGAAGACTGATTCCAGCTGTCTGTGATCACGATGAAGAGCGAAAGCAAATTAAGCCTAGTATGACCAAGAGTTTTTGCATTGATCACGAGCAGCGGTGGATGGTGAGAGCTAGACAGATGGAGAAGGTATCTGCGTTGGGTAACACCCGGCAATAATTTAGGCTTATTAAGGATACTGGAAAGACAAAACAGCAACCATTGAAGATATCATCGAAAAGGATGGGACGTTGATAACTTCCCAGAACAGACGGCTGAAACGTTGAGAAGAACACTGAAGCACAGTTCAAGTGACCCTCAGCAACGCTCCAGTTTCTCAACATCCAGCCTGAATGGGATGTAGGTCTTCCAACTCTCCTCGAAGTTGAGAAGGCTATACCGACCCTCAGACGATGCAGATTTGCAGGACCTGGCAGTTGGTCACCTGAAGTTTTCAACGACGGAGGCAAGAAACTTCTGCTTAAAGTGGCAGAGGTACTAGATAGTGTATGGGAATCAGAGGTGGTGAGATCAGACTGGTGTACTTAAAACTGGCCATCCCAGTCTACAAGAAGGGAAAGAAGAGCTCTTGTAACAACCATAGGGAATCAGTTTGACTAGTACTGTTTCCGAGACCAGAGGGTTCATACTTATCCAACGTCTAAGTGGAGCTCGAGAAAAGCGAATTCGAGAAAACCAGGCAGGTTTCAAACAACTGGACGAGGGTGTATCGATCATATTTTCACCCTTTGACAGGTTCTGGTACGCAGGCATACTTATTGGCGGTAAACACTTGGCCCATTCCTTGACCTGAAAGCAGCATTTGACTGTGTGGACCGGGAGGTTGTTGTATTGTGGCACTGTCTGACTGGGAAAGGAGTACCGAGAAAGTATGTTATGCTTATCAAAGCTTTCTAATCGATCTCACGCAACCGTGTAAGGGTCTGTGGAGTGTTGTCATCTGAATTGACGACAACTGTTGGTGTTCGTCAGGGCTGCTTACTGTCACTGTTCCAATTTAACTTCGTTATAGACGTAGTAATAGGCATAAGTTTAGGAATGTCAAACTTCACAGGGATTCATCTACTCCTTGGGGGGTTTGGCAGCTGATTGATTTGGAATATGCAAATGATATTGCCCTGTTGTGTGAAGACTGATAAAATGCAGGGCCTTATAAACGCACTAAACAGACATGTGAGTATGTTTGGCATGCGCCTTGCACCTATCAAATGTAGGATGATGCTCATAGATTAATCTGTAACCACTCGCAGTTTAATGATAGGGAGTGGGTGAAATGTGTCGACTACTTCACTAGAGGAGTTGTCTGATTCCCAACGGACTGGTTGCTGACGAAATCTCAGCTCGGATATAGAAGGCACGTTTGGCATATGCCAACTTGGATCATCTGTGAAGCCGACTAGCAAGATATCCGACTATCTATCAAAATACGAGTATACTGTTCTGCAGTATTTCTTGTCCTGTTACACAGTTGTGAGACGAGAAATACCCGTTGAAATTAGAAGACATGAAGGAGTTACAGGGTTTTGATGATAAGCGTCTTCGTAGCATTGCTTGCGTTTGGTGAAATCACCATATGAGCAGTGTTGAGGTCAAGCGAAGCGTACTAGACAACATAGGCTAGTCGATTGATGAGGTTATGAACTTTCATCAGCTGAGGTAGCTTGGACATGCGCTGCTCATGCCGAGCCACCACCTACCCCGATGTGCGATGCTAATGAAAGTTGCATGGTTTTGTAGTGGCCAAACCAAGAGGTGGCTCCAGTTCATGAAGTCCCTGACTGCTGGTCTCAGTCGTGTGGAAATGTGTAGACTGCCTGGCTGTGGTCCGTAAAACGACGGGAATCAGTGACTGAGGACTGTTGGTGAAATGGCTGGAGATCGGTCACGACGGCACAGATGTATTCAGTCTTTGACGTCTTCTAAAGCTTGAATATTCGCACAAACCGTGATCTTCTGTCACACAACTTTGTATACTTTGACTTTGTATACTACTGTGAAGTGTGGTAACTTGAACTGATGCACCACCAGTGTCTCCATATTATCATTATGGTTTCGGGACAGGATAGTCTCGATACAATTATCGCTGCCATCTGTTTCCAGAATGAACGAATTAAATTATTCAGAAATATCGGTATATGGCAATGTAAGGGAGATACATAAACAGCTTTTACGCTTCTGAATAGCGTTTGTGGTTACTGTTGTACAATTGTATTGTTTTCTTTAGTATGTGGAATAAGTGTGCTGTAAGAGAAGCAGGTAACATTGACAGTTAGTAGCTAATCCCAGAAAATTGCAGTCCTGTGTCTGCGTGGTGATCTACCAACTTCCTACTTTTTGTATTTTTTAAGGGTCACATTTCTCTTAAGCGGATACAATATATCTTAGGAAACTCTCCTCCCTTTGGAAAAATTGGCATTCAGCTGGTTTCTTTTTAAACGCGACAGACTACAGTCATTTAAGTTGTCTTGGAAATATCAGTTAAAAATACTTATGTACTGTTATTCTGCTTATAATGACGTTTGCGTACACCCGGTAAGCAGCCGCTAACTCTGCCTTCGATTTTGGAATATCGTTGAGACATTAACTAACCCGAAAGGTATTGTTTCGAATTCATAGAAATCCAACTGTATGATAATTACTTTCGCTTGTCACTTTTCTGGTTGTGCTTCGACCCGGCAGCTTCCCGACGCTAAATGGTTTTTTTGTGAACCAATTTAACTTTTCAGGGTTTCAAAAGTATCGTCTATGCGTTTTAGTCCAAACTAATCGTCTCTGGTTTGTTGATCCAGTTCGCGATAATCTAAACACAACTGTAGAATTCTATTTAAATTTTAAGTAGTACAGCTTATGAATTCCAAGGAAAAGTGGAAGGCTTGTTAATGTTTCTTTTGTATAAGTTCGTTTACTTATATCTCTTTATGGTGCCTGTCAAGGATTCGCACTTTTCATTCATATTTAACCTTAGCACAGGCACGTTAATCAGTTTCTCCCTCTCGTAATATTACTTTTCGGGAATGAACCTTGTATCAAGAGTCTCTTTAGCAGACCTAGAGTACTCAAATGACATTTCCTCTTAGATGAAAACCCTGACAAGATGTAGTCTCCTAGACACCTTAAGTGGCTATTTGAGAATATTTGGGCTGTTTCTCGTTACTCGCATACAAATTGTTGCTCTAA